CCTGCTGCTCCTGGCGGTGGCCAGACGCAGCTCCAGCGACCTCCGCGTGAGTCCCTCACGCCCCAGCAGCTTCGTGAGTGGTATGCTACTTGGGGCTGTCGGGGTGGCCGTAGTGGGAGTCGTCCCGGAGTGAGTAGTTTGGCAGCTGCTTGTTGTGGCCAGGTGCAGCTGCAGCATCGTCCGTGCGCGGTCCTTTCGCCCCAGCAGCTTTGTGAGTGGTACGCTCAGTGTGACGGGTCACGGGGTACTGCTTGCTGTCCGTACGTCATTCGCACTGGTGCTCGGACTGGTCAGCCTTGCGGGACGTTTGGTCACGCAGAGTCCCGCTGCTTCACCCGTCTGAGCGACGCCTGGCGTACGGAGTTTGGCGACGCGGCTAAGCTCCCCGACTGGGTGGAGCTGCTTAGGTTGAGGGTAGATATCTATACTCTTGACTATGATGCTATCCTAACTGCCATGTATACATTGCCTACTAGTGATGAGGGTGACTGTTACCTATGTGTTCCGCCTGACCCGGGCATTGAGACTACTGCTCTAGGTGCTGGTGAGGCTGCTGCTCTAGGTGCTAGTGCGTCTGCTACTCCAGGTGCTGGTGAGTCTGCTGCCCCTAGTACTGGTGCGTCTGCTCTCTCAGGTACCACGTCGACTCAGGCCTTACACACCTTCACCCTTGACTCGGGTGCTTCCCGCTCCTTCTTTCGAGACCGCACCACGCTTACGCCGCTTAGTCGGCCAGTTGCGGTCTCCCTGGCGGACCCCTCTGGGGGTCCTGTCCTTGCCCACTTCTCCATTGTCTTACCGTGTCCGGCGGCCCCCTCTGGCACCCTGTCAGGTCTCTACCTCCCCTCGTTCTCTACGAACTTGGTGAGTGGTGCTGATCTACAGGATTGGGGGGTTGACCAGTTCACTCCTGTGAGTCAGCGGGTGACCCACTGTACGTGTGCTCGGACGGGCCGACACTTGGCCACGTTTACCCGTCAGCCGGGGTCGAGCCTCTACACACTGACTACTGAGTCCCCTCCGGTTGCTAAGTCTGGTCAGGTAGCTGCGTCAGGTCAGGTGTTTGCTGCAGCGTCCAGGTCCGGTCCTGAGTCTGCTCCCTGCTCGTGTCGTCTCCTGTCCAACCAGACTCTCCTCTGGCACCACCGCCTTGGTCACCCCTCCCTGCCTCGTCTCTGAGGCATGGCCTTGTCATTTTATCATATTGTGTAGGCTATAGTGGGGTAGCCTATATGGGGTACACATTTCTAGGGTTGCATATTTGTATCACTTCCATTCCTTAGTCATTCATTCTCGTTCACATTTTCTCATGGTATCGAGCAGGTTCCCCGGTGGGAACTGTGCCTAGGGCCCACCACCACATCGACCTTTGTTTTTTCTGCCCGAAGCGCGCTCCGCCCGAGTCGCACTTCGGGCTCTCACCTCGTCGAGCCGCCCTAGCGGCCCTTTCCCATAGCGGCCCCGCCGCCCGTCGCTTCGGTCCCGCCGCCCATCGTCGCGGCCCCGCCGCCCTACCTCGCGGCCCCGCCGCCCTACCTCGCGGCCCCGCCGCCCTACCTCGCGGCCCCGCCGCCCTACCTCGCGGCCCTGCCGCCCTACCTCGCGGCCCCGCCGCCCTACCTCGCGGCCCCGTCGCTCTACCTCGCGGCCCCGTCGCCCTACCTCGCGGCCCTGCCGCCCTACCTCGCGGCCCCTCCGCCCTACCTCGCGGCCCCGCCGCCCTACCTCGCGGCCCTGCCGCCCTACCTCGCGGCCCCGCCGCCCTGCTCAACGGCCCCACCGCCCTTCTGCAGCGGCCCCGCCGCCCTACTCAGCGGCCCCACCGCCTTTTCTGCAGCGGCCCCGCCGCCCTTCTGCAGCGGCCCCGCCGCCCTACTCCTGCGGCCTCGCCGCCCTACTCCTGCGGCCCCGCCGCCCTACTCCTGCGGCACCGCCGCCCTACTCCTACGGCCCCGCCGCCCTACTCCTACAGCCCCGCCGCCCTACTCCTGCGGCCCCGCCGCCCTACCCAGCGGCCCCGCCACCGTTCACCAGCGGCCCTGCCGCCCTACACCGCCCGCGCCGCCCGAGCTGCCAGAACAGCCCGAGCCGCCCGAGCCGCCCGAGCTGCCCGAGCCACCCGAGCCGCCCGGGCCGCCCGAGCCACCCGAGCCGCCCGAGCCGCCTGATCAGCCGAGTCGCCGGTACCGCGGAGCCGTAGTCGCTACTGAGCCGTCCGAGCAGCCGTGTTGCCGTGTTACTGCACTACTGAGCTGCCCGGCTTGCCCTGTCTGGTGAGACCAGCGCTTCTGTCACTGCACTGCCCCTGTCCTACAGTTAGTCTCGCTAGTCTACTGCTGTCATGGCTTCCCCTAGTGTTCTTGCTTTTGACACTGAGGGTCGAGCCATTGACTTTGAGGTTTGGGTAGATGACCTGCAGCTCTTCTTACAGTGCGATAGGGCAGACGGTCTCTCCCTCTTTGACCTCACCTCTGGCGCCTCTCCTGCCCCTGCTGCTGATGTTGACCCCACTGTTCGCTCCCAGTGGGCCACGCGCGATGCTGCTGCACGTCTTGCTGTGCGTCGCCACCTGCCTACCACTGAGCGCGCGCACTTTAGTCAGTACAAGAGTGCTCACACCTTATACGACGCTGTAGTTGCGCGCTACTCTTCCCCTGCCACTGCTGCACTGAGCCGCCTCATGCTACCGTACCTCTTTCCTGACCTTGCTGCCTTTCCCACAGTCGCTGACCTCATTACGCACCTCCGCACTAGTGACACTCGCTACCGCGCCGCACTTCCTGCTGAGTTCTGCGCCAAGAACCCCCCCCCCATGTACATCACTCTCTATTATATAGTCACTCGCATCCCTGACTCCCTTCGCGTAGTCAGGGACCACTTCCTCTTAGTGTGTCCCACCACTCTCACTGTTGACCTCCTAGAGAAGGCCCTCCTAGCAGCGGAGAAGAGCATAGTCGCTGTAGGAGCCTCTCGTGGTGACCCGCGCACCCCCATCTTTGAGGGGTGTTCCCCTTCCCCCCTGTTGCCCTCTGTCGCCTCTGCTGCTGCGGCCGACCTCGTTGGTCTTGAGTCGGTCGGTGCGGCGTCTGCCCCTAGCGGGAGACGCCGCCCTGGCAAGGGCAAGGGGGGCAAGGGCGCGGGTGGAGCTAGCGGGGGTGGTGGAGGTGGCGGTGGAGGCGGCGGAAGGAGTGGGGGTGGCGGTGGGAGTGGTGGCGGGGGTGGAGGTGGTGGTGGCAGCAGCGGAGGCGGAGGCAGCGGAGGCGGCAGCGGTGGGAGCGGAGGCGGCGGTGGTGGCGGAGGTGGAGGCGGCGGTGGCGGAGGAGGTGGAGCTGGGCGAGGTGGTGCTTCGCAGCGGAGCGGTTCCGGTGGTGGTCAGCGCCAGCAGCAGCAGCAGCGTTCTCGGGACATCCCCCCTCCTCAGCAGCTCCGTGAGTGGTACACGCAGCGTCAGCGTGGTGGGGGTTTTGGTCCGTGCACCTACGTCCTTCGCTCCGGCGACCGCGCGGGTGAGCAGTGTGGGGGTGCCCACCCCACCCAGCGCTGCTTTGGCCGCCTGACGGATGCTTGGCGTCAGCAGTTCCCGGAGGCTAGTGAGATCCCCCGCTGGGGAGAGCTGTCTAGGGCAGGCGTAGCTATCTATGATCTTGAATTTGATGCTATCCTTGCTGCCATGTATGCTGTGACTATTAGTGATGAGGGTGACTGTTACCGGTGTTTCCCGCCCGACCCGGGCATTGGTACTGCTGCTCTAGGTGCCAGCGCGTCTGCGCCCTCAGGTACTGGTGAGGCTGCGCTCTCACGTACCGCGTCGGCTTCGGCCTCCCTCACCTTCACACTTGACTTGGTGGCTTCTCGCTCCTTCTTTCGTGACCGCACCACACTCACGCCGCTTGGTCGGCCGGTTGCAGTCTCCCTGGCAGACCCCTCTGGGGGTCCTGTCCTCTCTCACTTCTCTACTGTCCTCCCGTGTCCGGCTGCCCCCTCTTGCACCTTGTCTGGTCTTTAACTCCCCTCGTTCTCGACGAACTTTGGTGAGTGGTGCTGACCTACAGGATGCGGGGGCTCACCAGTTTACTCCTGCGAGTCAGCGGGGGACCTACTGCTCGGACGCACGCACGGGCCGACACCTGGCCACGTTTTCGCGTCGGCCGGGGTCGAGCCTCTACACCCTGACCACTGGGTCCCCTCCTGTTCCTGCTTCTGGCCAGGCAGCTGCGTCGGGTCAGGTGTTTGCTGCAGAGTCCAGGTCTGGTCCTGAGTCTGCCCCCTGCTCGTGTCACCTCCTATCTCACGAGACTCTCCTCTGGCACCACCGTCTTGGTCACCCCTCCCTGCCTAGTCTCCGAGGCATGGCTTCCCGTGTCCTTGTCTCTGGTCTTCCCCGGTCACTCCCTCCCCTTCCTCCGGGGCCTGGTCCTTCCTGTGTCCCCTGTGTCAAGGGGCGGCTCCGAGCTGTCCCTCACTCCTCTCAGTTTCCCCCGACAGAGGCCCCGCTGCAGACGCTTCACATGGACGTGTGATCCCAACCCGCGTCCGTGGACAGGGTCACGAGCGCTACTTCCTGCTGGTGGTTGACGACTACTCGCGTTACACCTCAGTCTTCCCCTTGCGCAGCAAGGGTGATGTCGCTGAGGTGTTGATCGACTGGATCCGCGCAGCTCGTCTCCAGCTCAGGAGGAGCTTCGGCTCGGACTTTCGTGTTCTGCTTCTGCACTCTGACCGAGGCGGAGAGTTCTCCTCTGGCCTTCTGCGAGCCTACTGTCGTGCGCGAGGCATCCGCCAGACCTTTACGCTTCCGGACTCTCCACAGCAAAATGGGATTGCTGAGCGCCGCATTGGCATGGTCATGGACGTCGCTCGTACGTCCATGATCCATGCGGCTGCCCCCCATTTTCTGTGGCCGTTTGCGGTTCGGTACGCGGCGCATCAGATCAACCTTCACCCCAGGGTCTCCAGGCCGGAGACCTCCCCAGCCTTGCTGTGGACGGGGAAGGTCCGCGATGCGTCTGCGTTCCGTGTCTGGGGATCTCGGGCGTTTGTCCGCGACTTGTCTGCGGACAAGCTGTCCCCTCGTGCTGCTCCCTGTGTCTTCCTTGGCTTCCCCCCTGACACCCCTGGGTGGCAGTTCTACCACCCCACCTCTCGTCGTGTTCTGTCCTCCCAGGATGTCACGTTCGACGAGTCAGTACCCTACTACCGCCTCTTCCCCTACCACACTCCTTCCCTCCCCCCGCCACCGCTCTTCCTTGTGCCAAGTCCCCCCCCGGTAGACCCCCTCCCCCCTCAGGGTCTTGCCCCTTCAGGTGTGTCCCAGGTAGATGCAGTCGAGCCGGTCGAGGTTGCTGGTGACTCTGGTACTGCTGTGGGTGCTGAGCCTGGGGGTGCTGAGTCTGGGGGTGCTGCGACTGGGGGTGCTGAGCCTGGGGGTGCTGAGCCTGGGGGTGCTACGACTGGGGGTGCTGAGCCTAAGGGTCCTTCGCCTGGGGGTGCTGCGTCTGGAGCTGCTGAGCCTGGGGGTGCTGAGTCTGGAGCTACTGAGCCTGGGGGTGCGGAGCCCGCGGCCGCTGGATCTGCTCGTGTGGCGTTTGGCGGTGCTGGGCCGGGTGGTTCTCCGGGTGCTTCGTCTCGGCGGGAGCCACTCTCTCCACAGGAGCTGCGCGAGTGGTTTGCCCGGCGCTGGAGGCGTACTACTGGAGCTGGTGCTTCTTCGGCTGCTGAGGGTGCTGGTGCCGCCGGTCTCGGAGGTGCTAGTCCTGCGAGTGCTACTGGAGTCGGAGCTGCTGAGGGTGTTGGCGCTGAGGCTACTGCTGTCGGTCCTGACGGCAGTCCTGCTGCGGGTGCTGCTGGTGCTGCTGGAGGTACTGGAGCTGGAGGTGCTGTTGATGCTGGTGCTGCCGCTGGGGGTGCTGGTGCTGTCCCTGCTGTGTCTGGAGTCGCTGCGCGGCCTCGGCCCTACTTTGTTCCGCTCCTTCAGCAGGTTCTTGGTCTTCCTCCTCCCTTAGAGTGTCCACCGCCTGTCCAGTCGCAGTCACAGTTACCGCCGGCCTCCCCACTGCCTTCTCCTTCTCCGTACAGTGGTCCTACTGGAGGTCTTGCTGAGCGTCGTGAGCCTGCGTCTCGTCCTGCGTCGCCTGTTCGTGCTGCTCGCACTAGTGGTCGCAGTTCGCGTCAGCGTCCTCCTCCTGTCCCTGGCACGCACCGGATGTCTCTGCGTCCGTCCACTGCTCCTCTGCGTGCCCCTTTGCCCTCTCCTCCTGAGTCCTCTCTTCCTGGGCTTGCCGACCCTGAGTCGGACTCTCTTCGTGCTGCGAGTCCTACTGTCACGCGTCTCCTTGCTACTGTCCTCACTGACCCCTCTTTTGAGTCCAGTGCTGCGTCTGCTCTTGTTGCTGAGCTCGTCGACTTTTCTGCTCACAGTCGTCTAGACTACGCTGCTAGTCTTGTTGCTGAGTCTGCGTCTGTCTGTCCTCCGTCCGTCGGGGGTGAGTGTGCTCTTGGCACGGACGTCCTTGAGGACAGGCAGGAGGAGTTCCAGTGTCTCGCTGCTGCTTCACCTCATCTCGCGTCCGTACTGCTTACCCCTGAGGGAGACCCGGATGCACTAGACATCCCGACTCCGCGCTCTTACGCGGAGGCCGTAGAGGGTCCCTACTCCTCTCAGTGGCACGCAGCTATGGATGCAGAGATGGCTTCCTGGAAGTCCACAGGCACCTACGTTGACGCGGTTCCCCCTCCTAGGGCGAACATCGTCAGTGGCATGTGGATCTTCAGGGTGAAGCGGCCGCCGGGCTCTCCACCTGTCTTCAAGGCGCGGTACGTGGCTCGTGGCTTCAGTCAGCGGCAGGGAGTTGACTACTTTCAGACCTTCTCTCCCACCCCGAAGATGACCACTCTTCGGGTGCTGCTACACGTAGCCGCTCAGCGTGACTACGAGCTTCACTCCCTTAACTTCAGCACTGCTTTCCTGCAGGGTAGCCTGCACGAGGGGATCTGGTTGCGCCGTCCACCTGGCTTCACTGGGACTTTCCCTCCTGGCACCCAGTGGAGCCTCCGACGACCAGTCTACGGTCTCCGCCAGGCACCGCGCGAGTGGCACGACACACTGAGGACTACGCTTGCGGCTCTTGGGTTTGCTCCCTCTACTGCCGACCCGTCGCTGTTTCTACGCACCGACACTTCTCTGCCGCCGTTCTACATCCTCGTGTACGTCGACGACTTGGTCTTTGCCACAGCTGACACTGCTGGACTCGCCCACGTGAAGTCCGAGCTGCAGAAGAGATACACGTGCACAGACCTGGGTGAACTGCGCAGCTACCTTGGCTTGCAGATCACCCGGGACAGAGCACGCCGCACCATTACCTAGACTTAGTCACACATGGTGCAGCAGGTCCTTCAGCGCTTCGGCTTCACGTACTCCTCGCCTCAGGCCACTCCTCTGTCTACTCGCCACTCGCTCTCAGCTCTGCCTTCGGATGAGTCCGTAGAGTCGAGTGGCCCGTACCCAGAGCTTGTTGGCTGCCTCATGTACCTGATGACTTGCACTCGTCCTGACCTTGCATACCCTCTTAGCATTCTTGCACGCTATGTTGCTCCTGGGAGACACAGACCAGAGCACATGGCTGCAGCGAAGAGGGTGTTGCGCTACTTGTGCAGTACGTCGGGCATGGGGCTAGTGCTTAGAGGGCAGAGTCCATTGGTCCTCACTGGGCACGCGGACGCTTCTTGGGCAGACGACCAGGCTACGCAGCGGTCGTCACAGGGTTACACCTTCAGCCTTGGTTCCGGCTCTGTTTCGTGGCGGGCTACTCGCTCGTCTTCTGTTCTCGGCTCCAGTTGTGAGGCTGAGATCTACGCCGGGGCCATGGCTGCACAGGAGCTTCGCTGGATTACCTACCTGCTGACTGACCTTGGAGAGCCGCCTCGTTCTCCTCCGGTGCTGTACGTAGACGACAAGGCAATGCTAGCCTTGTGTCGGAAGCAGCGCCTGGGGCACAAAACGAAGCACATTGCTCTCCGCTACTTTCTTGCTCGTGAGTTGCAGCAGCGTGGTCAGTTGCGACTTGCGTACGTGGCCTCTGAGGCCAACACTGCTGATGTTTTCACCAAGGCACTTCCGCCTTGTGATCATCAGCGCTTCTGCACTCAGCTGGGTCTTGTGCCTGTCTTGCCTCACTTGCTCACCCCTTGACCTTTCTTGTACTCTTACATATATATATACCTGCTCTTGATTGTTTAGCCTTATATATATATGTGTACTCCTGCATGTGAACTGGCCTTGTGGCCTTGACCTTGTGCTCGGACTGTGTGGTGACGTTGTGATCCACCCTGAGCTTTGTCTACTTTGCTTGACTCGTCTTGTGACCCCTTGTTCTCCCCCACTTTGCCTATGGGGGTGTGTCAAATTATCATATTGTGTAGGCTATAGTGGGGTAGCCTATATGGGGTACACATTTCTAGGGTTGCATATTTGTATCACTTCCATTCCTTAGTCATTCATTCTCGTTCACATTTTCTCAGGCCTCCCGATACCTTGTCTCTGGTCTCCCCCAGTCCCTCCCTCCCCTCGCTCCGGGGCCTGCCCCTACCTGCGTTCCCTGCGTCGAGGGGCGGCAGCGCGCCGCCCCTCACTCCTCCGAGTTTCCTCCGACAGAGGCTCCCCTGCAGACTCTTCACATGGACGTGTGGGGCCCCGCCCGCGTCCGTGGCCAGGGTCACGAGCGTTACTTCCTGTTGGTGGTTGACGACTACTCGCGTTACACCACGGTGTTCCCCTTGCGCAGCAAGGGTGACGTCACTGAGGTGTTGATTGACTGGATCCGCGCAGCTCGTCTCCAGCTCAGAGAGAGTTTCGGCTCGGACTTTCCTGTTCTGCGTCTGCACTCTGACAGAGGCGGGGAGTTTTCCTCTACCCTTCTAGGAGCCTTCTGTCGTGCAGAGGGCATCCGCCAGACCTTCACGCTTCGGACCTCTCCACAGCAAAATGGGATTGCTGAGCGCCGCATTGGCATGGTCATGGACGTCGCTCTTACGTCCATGATCCATGCGGCTGCTCCCCATTTTCTGTGGCCGTTTGCGGTTCAGTACGCAGCGCATCTAATCAACCTTCAGCCCCGGGTCTCCTTGCCAGAGACCTCCCCCACCTTGCGGTGGATGGGGAAGGTTGGCGATGCGTCTGCGTTTCAGGTCTGGGGATCTCGGGCGTTTGACCGCGACTTGTCTGCGGACAAGCTGTCCCCCCGTGCTGTTCCCTGCGTCTTCCTTGGCTTCCCCCCTGACGTGCCTGGTTGGCAGTTTTACCACCCCACCTCGCGCCGTGTTCTGTCCTCCCAGGACGTCACCTTCGACGAGTCGGTGCCTTACTACCGTCTTTTCCCCTACCGCACTGCGCCCCTCCCCCCGCCGCCTCTCTTCCTTGCGCCAGGTCCCCCCCCGGTAGACCCTCTCCCCCATCAGGGTCCTGCCCCGTCAGGTGTGTCCCAGGTAGACGCAGTCGAGCCTGTCGAGGTAGCTGTTGAATCTGGTGCTGCTAGGGGTGCTGAGCCTGGGGGTGCTGAGCCTGGGGGTGCTGAGTCTGGGGGTGCAGAGCCTGGGGGTGCGGAGCCTGGGGGTGCGGAGCCTGGGGGTGCGGAGCCTGGGGGTGCTGAGCATGGAGGTGCTGAGCCTGGGGGTGCGGAGCCTGGGGGTGGTGGGTCTACTCGTGTGGCCTCTGGCGGTGCTGGGTTTGGGGGCCCTTCGGGTGCTTCGTCGAGGCGGGAGCTACCCTCTCCACAGGAGCTGCGCTAGTGGTTTGCCCGGCGCTGGAGCCATGCTGCTGGAGCTGGAGGTGCTACTGTTGTTGCTAACCCTAGGGTCAGCACTGGAATTACAAGAGCCACTGGTCCTGGAGGTGCTCGTACTGGCGGTACTGGAGCTGCTTGGACTGGGGGTGCTGCTGGGGCTGCTGGAGTTGGTCCTGCTGGAGGTACTGCTGGAGCTGCTGGCGGTACTGGAGCTGGCGGTCTGCTGGGGTTGGTGCTGCTGGAGCTGCTGGAGCTAGAGCTACTGGGGGTGTTGGCGCTGGAGGTGCTGCTGGCGCTGGTGCTTCTAAGGGTGCTGGAGTTGGCGCTGTTGGAGCTGGAAGTGCTGCTAGCGCTGGTGCTGCCGCTAGGGGTACTGGTGCTGTCCGTGCTGTATCTGGAGGCGCTGCGCGGCCGCGGCCGTACTTCGTTCCGCTCCTTGAGCAGGTTCTTGGTCTCCCGCCCTCTACTGGTCCTTCTCCTCCCTTAGAGTGTCCACAGGCTGTCCACTCGCGGTCACAGTTACAGCCCGCCTCCCTCCTGCCTGCTCCTTCTTCCTACACTGGTCGTACTAGAGGTCTTGCTAAGCATTGTGAGCCTGCGTCTCGTCCTGCGTCGCCTCTTCGTGCTGCTCGCACTAGTAGTCGTGCTCCGCGTTTGCGTCCTCCTGCGGTCCCTGGCACACACCAGATGGCACTGCGTCCTTCCACTGCTCGTCTCCGTGTCCCGTTGCCGTCTCCTCCAGAGTCCTCTCTTCCTGTTCTTGCTGACCCGGAGTCTGACTCTCTTCGTGCTGCCAGTCCTACTGTCAGGCGTCTCCTGGCTACTGTTGTCACTGACCCTTCCTTTGAGTCCACGGCTGCGTCTGCCTTGGCTGCTGAGCTTGTCGACTTTGCTGCTCGTTGTCGTCTAGACTACGCCGCTAGTCTCGTTGCTGAGTCTGAGTGTGTCTGTCCTCCGTCCGTCGGGGGTGAGTGTGCTCTTAGCACGGACGTCCTTGAGGACAGGTAGGAGGAGTTCCAGTATTTTGCTGCTGCTTTGCTTCATCTCGTGTCCACGCTGATTGCCTCTGAGGGAGACCCGGATGCACCAGACATCCGACTCCTCGATCGTACGCTGAGGCAATCGAGGGTCCCTACTCCTCACACTGGCAGACAGCCATGGACGCGGAGATGGCTTCCTGGAAGTCCACAGGCACCTACGTCGACGAGGTTCCCCCACCTGGGGCGAACATCGTCAGTGGCATGTGGATTTTCAGGGTGAAGCGGCCGCCAGGTTCTCCGCCTATCTTCAAGGCGTGTTACGTCGCTCGAGGCTTCAGTCAGCGGCAGGGGGTTGACTACTTTCAGACCTTCTCTCCCACCCCGAAGATGACCACTCTTCGAGTGCTGCTGCACACAGCCGCTCAGCGCGACTACGAGCTTCACTCTCTTGACTTCAGCACAGCTTTCCTGCAGGGCAGCCTGCACGAGGAGATCTGGCTGCGCCGCCCACCTGGCTTCACTGGGTCGT